AGTCCAGAACTAGTTAAAACATTAAGAATTTTCAGAGAGGAGAATAAAATCAGCAAACTAACTGTCGTGGTTTAGCCCCAGCAGACAACTAAGCACCACACAGCCGCTCGCTTGCCCTTGCCTCCCCAGGTGGGATGGATGAGAGAATTAGAAATAAAAACTTGTGAGTTCAGATAAAAACAGTTTAAAAGGACAGCAAAGAAAGAGGAAGTAATAGTAATATTACTGATGAGGGAATATACCAAAACAAGTGATGCACAGCGCAACAATTGCTCACCAACCAGTGATCAGCCTGTCTCTGAGCACCAATTCCTGCCTCCCAGCCAACTCCAGTTTATATACTGAGCATGACGTGATACGGTATGGAATATCCCTTTGGCCAGCCTGGGTCAGCTGTCCCGGCTGTGCCCCCTCCCAGTTCTTGTGCACCTCCCCACGGGCACAGCATGGGAAGCTGAAAAGTCCTTGACTGAGTATAAGCACTGCAACTACTTAGCAACAACTAAAAACATCAGTGTGTTATCAACATGATTCTCATACTAAATCCAAACACAGCACTATACCAGCTATTAGGAAGAAAATTAACTCTATCCCAGCTGAAACCAGGACATTAACCCATTAGAACTGCAAATCAGAGAATTATTACTGTGTTACTGTGAGCATTTTATCATCTATTGAGCAACTGGGAGAGAAAAACAAAACAGCAAAGCACTGGGCCAAGGAAGGGAAAAAGCATTCATTGAAAAAATTCTCCTAACTTTCCTGGTAATTTGGGCAGATCTTCATTAAAAGGCACGTCTGCCTACTGTCTGATTTATGACTGCAGTTCAGAACAACAGAAAATGCCCTGATCTTATATTCTCACATAGGCACCTGCAGTGGTTTGGGACAGACTGGTCAAACCTTGTAGAGCACTTCTTACATTCTTATACATGAGAAATCAAAGAAGTTCAGAATGAACAGCTCCCATCTTTTCTTAAAGCTCATTGTAATTTTTTTTTTTCCTCACTTGAAGACAGTAGATTCAAAAGTATATGAAGGCTTTGAGTTACCAATTTCTACCATTGTCACTCTATTCAAATAAAAATACACGTACCCCTGTCCTCAAAATGATTTTGCTGAGTGCACAGACAGTTCAATTAAGTTGATGAAATTGGCCACAGATAAGCTCTGTAATTATTTTGTGGGCACATTGTGCATCTTGCTGTCAATTAAAGTTACTGGACCACATTTATTTCAAGCCAAATCTTAAACTATTTTCTTAAACTCTTCTATCTTCTGCAACTTCTATAAAATATCCAGTTTCTTTGCCAAAGGATTATTGACCTGGTTATCACGCACTGATCCTAAGTGTGGCAGAATTCATAGACAGAGCATTCCATGAATACACTCTGTTCCACTTCTATACTTGGCACAGCAACGTTTGGTGATGACTCAAGGCAAAGCCACTCTTTCAGTAAAAAGGAGCACTGGATGGCTTGAGTAAGATCTAATCTCACCTAAGAAGCCATAATTTCGTGCCTAAAACAATAGAACCAAATAGCATCCATATGATTTTGGAAGTACTTGTGCAAAAGTAACACGTAACTTTTCCATTTCAATTATCGTATTAATCCTGACTGTCTAGAATTGTATTCCCCCGTAAAAAAGTAGGTAAGTTAGAAGAAAGCTTTTAGTTTTCTGAGGCTCTGAAATAAAAATAACATGTCCTAAATTCTTTACTGATACTTCTTCCCACTTGTAAAGTCTTCAAAATTTAAGACAGGACTTCAGCAGCCTTAGTTCACTCTACCTTTGTGTTAAGGAAATTCTTTTAAAATTCAAATTAGTCAAAGCAACAAGTTACAAGAAAACCACATCAGAGATGCTACTAAAATTGTTTATTAAAAGGCATAAAATATTTTTTCCACATCTTTTTCAGATAGGTTCTAAATTTTTTTTTTCACTTAATGAGTAAAATTCCTAACATAATTTGAAAAAAAATAAAACCTCCACCTTAAGTGTTAAAACAAGGTAGAAAGCTGAAAAGCTCCCAACCCAGTCAAACCGTGCACAAGTCATCACTGTACCCCACCTGAAGACAATGCCTCTTCACAGGACAGAAACCCTACCGTAAAAGTGAAAAATAGGTTCCAAAGTCTATACAAAATAATATGTTTGCAGTAATAATCCTTACTCTATTCTAAACATGAGGAAGATTTCACCATTCTGTATGTTCCTCTACTTGGAGTACACACACACGCAGTAACAATTCCTTGGAAAGTAGCAACTTTTAAGGTTAGAATCAGTAAGATCTCGAAGTGAAAACCAGAAAAACACCTAGTCATGTCCAGTACAAGGGTGAATACTAAACAAGCTTTAGCCCTTCCCAAAAGGCAGTATTTAAGGAGGCCATTCACAGAGGGCTTCCCTCAGAACCACTCTATTTCAAGCTGAAGAACTCTAGAGGACAAATGAAGCATAAATGAAGGACTCGGGATTCATGTGTATGTATGATACACTGGAGAAAAAAAAACGAAACAACATTTAGCTCATTTTCTACAAGTTTGTAGCTAAAAACTGCAATATATTCATTTTACCTGCTCTTGGTAAAGGCATGTAAGAAATTGAAAATGAAAAAGGAGCAGTAACTTAAATTGCAGTAAAACTGCACATTGTTTAGACAATTCCACTATATAAAAAAGGGATAAAGACTCCCATTTTTCAGTAAGCTTACAAAGAGATTGTGTATGCTACATTTTAGTCTTTTTATTACCAGTTGGGTTTTCTGAATATAAAAAGTGATTACTCCTTTCCCAAAAGTTTCTTCTACCTTTACTT